GTTTCAACTGTACCCGTTGTTCTTCGAGGCATACCGGACTTGCCGAAAGCTTCGAACGGCTCGATGACCGTGATGAGGTAGATTCTTCAGAGTATTTGGATGTGGACGGATCCGGATCATGGCCTGCTGAATCTTTTTCCTCCTCGCTCATTATTTCCGGATTTCCTGTATACTTCCTAGCTTCGCTTCAACCAAAATGATAACAGTAGAGAAGTGTTGATCGCGAAGTGGTATATCTACAAGTAGCACGTAACTCACTTGTTTAGCTAACAAAGTACACATCGTCCACGTGAAGTTTCATTTTAAGTAATCTGAAAAATAAACGGTAACTTTCAAAATTTTCAACAAAATTTTGATATTGAAAAGTCGCGCAGAACTGCAAAATTCAGGTAAAATCATATGATCCTCATAAATCTGTTTTACATAGGTTCAAGAGACCGTGATATACACATTACTTTCGCGACGTCGTAGTTCAAACGACACGATGATGAGTTACAAATGCAAAACGCGTGATTAAAAAAGTGTGAAACAGTGATGTCAAGTCATCAGCCTAATCTCGAGATACGGAGTAGGAATACTAACCGAATTCCTAGAGGACGCAATTCACAAAGGTATACTCCGGATTCATTAAGCAGATATGTAGAAAGTGTCGGAAAATCTCAAGAATTTTCTTCCATTAGATGGTTTACTCAACTATACGACATAAACCCGTAGTTGCATAAGATCAAAAGATGTCAAGAACAGATATATCTGCTAATTTCTTACCCAATATCTCTAACCTGTGCCTAAGATCGCTTTGCGCTAAAAATTTCTCCGACTAATAAACTAGTCAAAGTTGAAGCGCACGACCTTTCCTTGTCAATACTTATTAAATTATGAATCATCCTGAAATGCATGATGATTAGCTTCATTCATTTGACTTTTCCCCTCAAAGTAGGATATGAACAACAAGGTTTTACCAAAAAAAGAGCTCAAGAAGATCGTCCACATCAACAGATCGATCCACATCAAAAAGATTTTCCTTAAAGTAAAATGCATATTCCGTTCATTCGGATGATTTTGAAATCTATCCTCGGTTAGTATTTCTATTTCATTAGTATAAAACAGAAAGGTGTGTAATAGAGTGATCAAATACACCACAATAATGATAAGTGAAAAAGATAAACATTCACTTAATACCCTGGTCAAATACTGATATTAAGTGAACAACGAAATAATCACAGTCGTTATTAAGGTGGCAATTTTTTTCGGAAACGCGATGTGATAAATTCTTCATTTCTTATCATATGATGTGCTTAAAATTGTATAAAAGGTATTATTTGAAATAAAGAACAAAACATTTGTAAACTCTCGTGATAACTTCTAAGCGTCCGTAAATTTTTTCTAGAACATCTTCAACTTCATCTTAGGTTAGCGATTTCCCGAAAAACATTTCAGAATAAAATCCGGAAAAGAAAGAAGGAACGAAGAAGAGGATTAAAATTAATTGCATATAACTTACCATATATTTACATTATTGTTGTTGAATCATTTTGTTTGCATTGTATTATATTTTGTAAGATAGTTGAATAAAAATTAACTTAAAATTTGAAATAGCTCCCAGAAAATCAGCAAATGACTCATTAAATATTAATGAGATAAATCGATTGACCGAAAAAAGGCTGTACTGAAAACCTAAATCCATACGGTATTTTTTGTGTTACTCTTCTATAAATAACGGCCCGCAATAATTGCCTTAATAAACGCTTCGTAATCTTTTCTATTTCCTGTGAATTTCTAGCAGAATTAGGATTTTCTGATGGCATAAATGGACTGATTGTATAGAAGAATACTTCTAGAAATTTTAATCAAAATAGGCAATAATTTTAAATCCTCTTTGAAAATATAAGAAATCTCATTTTGCGTAACTTACGTGAAAAAAAAAATATCGAAGGGAAAAAAATCGAAGAAACACTTTCCCTCAACTTTAAAACTTCTCAAAGTTATACTTTTAAAAGATTAGAAAATTGGGGATGTAACGTATGAAAATACGCAAAGAAAAGTTGTGGACACATCTATCGATATACTGATAGCAATAGTAGGAAATCGAGGGAAAAGTCAACCGGTATGAAATTTGAGAGAAAAGTCAACTGGCACGAAATTCATGTACGTTTAACTGATCGACTTATCATAGGTGTAAAAATTTGAATAAGAAAACGTAACATTAACATTAACGTTTGAGCGTAAGGAAAGAATGACGAAATTCAACTACAGCTGTAATTAAGGCCAAGGATACGAAAATGCTTAAAAATGACCAATAAAAAAAAAAGTTATAACTTTAACCGATCGACTTCCTTTTTCAGCAAAAGGCCAAGTGCGAGATGAGAATCGACGTATATGTTGTCTGTTTCTGTCTTCATATAAGTGACAGACAGACAGACAGATAGATAGACACACACACATATACGCGTGCAAAGGCAACACAAGAAAGCACAGCAATCAATGAAATTCATTTCTTGCTGTGTTGTTTGCGTTATTCTCTGAGTGTTCGTAGCAGGTGATGCACACACACACACATACACACACATACATACACACACATACCCACACATAGCATACATACATACACGCTTGCATACACATACACGTACATACACATAGATATAGACGAGCATACATGTAGGTATACGAATACACACATTTACACACACACACACACACACACACACAACACAGGCGAATGAATAATAGATAAACACGTGCGGGAAGTGAATAAACAGACACGTATGGAAGACGTACGTTTATAAACAAGTGAACATCAAACCTTCAATGGTGTGTGTGAAAATTTCAGTATAATATTTCATCGGTAAAATTGTCATTTTTTTGAATGATTTTTATTTTTCCGTTTGAAGTGTTAATTTTTAGTTTCATTTAAATTCTTTTGTAATCTGCGCTATTGTTTAAATTCCATTTATCGAAATGTAATGCTAAAATATGTTTTTGCATATAGTTGGGAAAGCAAAATAAATAATTTGAATTTTTGTTATATTAAATGAATTAATTAACTAATTTCATTAATGAGATAGTAATGATTGTTTAGCATTAGATAACATAATACTAGCATGATAGATAAGATAAAATTATAAAATTGATAAGATAATGTAATCATAGTTACTGTTGCAATAAGCTAACTGATTGATTGACAGTTTTTTTTTGTTTCATTTTTTAAAAATATTTCTGATGCTTCACGTTTACTTCAGGTAAGAACGTGAAAATATCGTCAATACGAACGGAAAGTGAAAGGATTTGCTTGCAAAAGTGGATGCTATGAGAAAGGTTGAAAATTTGTTCTAATTTATTTAAAATTTTCAAAATATTTTAAAACAATAAACAGATCAGATTTTTGTTATGGAGTAATACGGAATGATATATTTCATGAAAATTTGTTATGCGAATACAACAGGTAATTTTTCTTTTATCTTGTTTACACATAGATCGAATCATCATCATGTGATATGTTTAAATTTATAATCGTTTTCTTGACACTTGAAAAAATTTTTTGTGTGAAGTTATTGATCATTTTCATGTGATTTGCTTCCAGTCGTATTTTGCAAGATAAATTAATTTGAAAAAGATGATTATTAAGGCAGTTATGTATACCATTAGTATGATGACAGATAAGAGAAAATTATCACGTACGTGAATGCCTAATTAATACAATCTACTCAGAAGATGAATTGTTCGTTGTATATGTAACTGTCAACTCGTGATTACACATGTAAATACTAAGTCATGGATTACGTAAATGAATATTATAGCATGAGATTAAGTACAGGAAATATATAAGCGTTAAGTTGTATATTACAAGCGTAAACATCAACTGGATTATGTATGGGGATCAGTTATGATTGTTTGAGTAGTATTCTTCAAAAAATTAAATTGGTTTTTTTCAGAATTAAACACGTAAAGAATTCCGTTAAGTCATGTATGGGATTTCACTACGCATAATAAATGTTGTTTTTAGCCTTTGGGAATGATTAGGTAGTTTCGCTGAATAGTTGATTACTTCATGCAGTCCATTCAAGTGATAAATGACTACAGACGATATTTGTTTTCTTCGTTACCAATTAGTTGAAACTATGAAAATTAAGACCAATGATATGATGTAAATGAGCAAGACATCCTTGCAAAAAGGACGGTCATTCTTATAAATAAACAATCACAGTTATAAACATTCTTTTTCATGAAAAAAGGACGACATTAGGAAGGGTTATTACAACCACTAATTGTTTGATAGGTCGACGATGTATCGGTCATGTCCTATTTCGAAATGTTGTGGAATAATTCAGTCATGTTATTTATTAATGTTGTTAATATTTTAGTTATTAGTATTATTATTACTATAGCTATTGTTATTGTTTAATATAATTGATATTATTATTTTCCTTGAAAGAAGCACAGAAGATTAAAGGACAGTATAAGAATCCAATTTCGAATATGCAAATAAATCTGATAATAAATTTTACACTTTATAATAAATAAGGAAAGCATTCAGGAAGACAACAGATATAGTGAATGTATCATTTTAGTTGCGCTTAGAATTAAAATTAAATATTCGTACTACGAAGAAATTTCTCAACTATCGTTTTTACGTTATTCTTTTTCATTACGATTCTGTAAAACATTATAATTTTGATTGGATACATCCATAAAGCATGACAACAGCTTAGCCATTTTTTCCGTGTGCAAAACGAATTTGTACATCTACGGAAAAATCCAAATTTTATGCTTATTCCCCTTTTATTCATTAAATGCCATTCGGTGGAATTAGTTAAGCAGGTTGAGATATACGATATCTTGAAATTGGTATATTGAAAAATAAATGTTTCAGTAATGAATTTGTTAATCCTTATCGTCCAATCACTGATTGCTTCAAAAGTAACATATCACATGATTCTTGCTATTCAGACATCATATGATTTTTGGTGAAGTTCAATGCAATTTATTTCAGTTCTAGAGGCATGCATTTCTGGTCAGCCTCACTCTTAGTTATTTTCTACTGCTGGATAGATGTTATTATTTCGGTGATCGCATTTGGCTTTTATCAGACATCATTCAAATTCGATGCTCGAATTATCTGGAATTACGTAGCACTTAATGTACCTTATGATTTTATCACTTCTCCTGTTGATTTCCTATTATTAACCGCTTTTCGACTTCTCATAATGCTGATCTGTATCGTGTTCAAGTACAAATATGAACATCGGCTTAAAAAATTTTTCATACCACTTTTGGGAGTATTTATCCTACATTGGACGTTCTCATTGGTGAAATTACTTGCATTCTCGGAAAAGATCGAGCAGTTCGCTTATTTCGGGTTTTGGCTAAATGTTATTTGGAATGTGCTAGCCACTATATTAATTATTTTACTTTGGAATTTTGCATTACATACTAATACCTCATGGGATTATCAATCATTGACGGTTGAAACACGGGATGTAACATCAAGATTGCAAGACACTGAAAAGGAACTCAGTCGTTCTGGTACCGGTCAACATATTGTGCGATTGCTCCGGTATTGTAAACATCAGTGGAAATGGTTTGCAACAGGATTCTTTTTCCTTATCATCTATTCTGCAGGTATGAATTTGTAGCTATTAAATCTTGAATTTCAAATAGTACTGTTTTGGAGAATGGTTTAGATTCTAAACTCATACTTTTTCAGTTTTTATATGCCGATTTGTTAGCATATGCTCATCGCATTACAATATTTAAGTTCCCTTTTTCTAAAATTTGAGTCATGCTTCGAAGTAGGGATTTAATACTGAAGTTCAGTAAATTTAACTTAACTATACATTTAATGACATATTTATTGACCAAAGTTCGAAAACTTAAAAAAATTAATGGAATTAAGAGCATGTAAAAATGAAATCTGAAATGAATTTATTTAAGCGCGGGTATTTCTACCGTATTGTATCGGTCAAGTACTTTCAAATATTGTACAAACTAAAGGTGTTGCCGTTGTAGTCCATTCTGTGCTGATCATGTCTGCTCTAGCTTTCATAAGGTTTGAATTTTATCTTCATGTTTGAGACTTGCATTTTGATATTGTACTTCGTGAGGATTTTATTAAAATTCGAAAGTTTTTATGTCAACTTTTAAAGTAAAACTTATCAAATTCATGAATCATTTCCATTTTAGTACTATTACTGCTGGTTTTCGAGGTGGAAGTTTTATTTACGCTACAGCGTTGGTAAATCGTCAGATGCGCTATGATTTATTTAGTTCATTAGTGGAACAAGACATCAGCTTCTTTGATACGACTAATACAGGTATTTAGCCGTGCCATGTGATAAAATTTAGAAGTTTATTAAATAACTGTTAAACTTAAGGTTCATTTAGCGAATTGTTAAACTTACTGCATATACCAGACCCATATGCTTTATTTGATTATGTTAGATTTTGGAGTTTATCAGGTGAGATAACATCACGCTTAACAACTGATTGTGAAACGATGTCATCAACAATATCTACTAATTTGAACGTTTTCCTTCGAAACAGTGTCATGCTTCTTGGTTCGCTGGTGTTCATGTTTACTCTTTCATGGCGCCTTTGTTTGGTTACTTTCATTATTGTGCCGGTCGTAGGTTTTGTGACAAAAATTTACGGTGCGTATTATGATGTAAGTTTGAAAATTTCACTACTTTTACAAAGTCTTCTATTTTGAATTAGATTAATGTAATGTGCTTGCAAACTGATTTCGTCAGCATTACATGATTAGAATTTACCCATCAATCATCCAAAACTTTTGGTCATTAAAATGTTGTGCATTATTCGGATTGGTTGTATGTTATTCGGACTAAGGCTTCACTTCTAAAAGATATTTACGACGTCAATCATCAAGTCTATTTGCGCTTTAATTGGTACTTTCTGATTTTTAATTAGCAAATGCACTTCTATAATGGGCATTGTATTTACTCTCTCATTTATTCTTTCGGAATATATGTTATTCACTTTTTTACAGCTGCTAACAGAAAAGACTCAAGGAACAATAGCGGTATCAAATCATGTAGCAGAACAAGTGATTGGTACTATGCGAACAGTGCGATCATTCGCTTGCGAGAAACGCGAGGCCAAAAAATTCCAGCAGCATTTGGATGAAACGCTGCGTTTAAATAAAAAAAAAGCATTAACCTATGTGGGTTATATGTGTACTACCGAATTATGTGATAATGCTATCCTAATTGCTGTGCTATTTTATGGTGGTCATCTTGTTTTGTCAGGTGATTTTTCCAGTTGCAATTCGTTTCGTACATTAATTTGAGAATTCTGTTTTATTATGATTCTACTTTGCTGGATTTAATACTTGAAAATCTAAAAAATTCAGATAAAAGTTAGATTCACTTTGAATTATAGTCATTTATTTTCACTTCATTTCCAATCCAGAATTGTTTTTTTGTTGCAGGAAAAATGGAAGTTGGTAATTTGATATCTTTCTTATTGTATCAAATGCAACTCGGGGAGAATCTCTATGTAAGTTTTTATTAATTTTCAGGTGATTTAGATATTGATCGGTTCCTAATTCATTCAATCGATATGTGTAGCCACAGAAGCTATCTAGTCATTCATACATTCACTGAATGCTTTTTCTGTTAGTAAGGCGTATCGACTTCCCGTTACTTCAACTTACTCTTCATGTTGTCAGTTTAAAATTTTTCTATTTAATGCTCATTTCCACATATCTATCTGGTTCATGCTTAAGGAAACAGTAAAAACTTTACTTTCATTTCATTATCATTATATGTAATTAAACCTTTTTTTCAATCTTTCGGTATCCTCATATATTTACAGCTGAGCATATTATCTTCTCAGACGGCTACTGTCTCCAATTTTAATTATGTCTTGAGAACTCTAGTTCCATGTCTATAAGATTCAAACTTCGCATCTGTCTAGCTCTCCGTTAGAATTTTTCAGAACATTAGTTATGTATTTACGGGTTTAATGGAAAGTGTTGGTGCATCAAGGAAAGTTTTCGAATATATAATCCGTAAACCAAAAATTCTTCATGTTGGAACAAAGAAGACGCCAATTAATGGAGAAGTTAAATTCGATTCTGTATCCTTCACATACGCTTCTAGGCCAAACAATCCTGTTTTACAGGTTCTTTCTACAAGTTTTACATTTCAAGTGTTGCTAATGAAGGTAAGGTTGAAGCTTCCAAAGTGGTCATGTTTAGAATGGTCATGTTGTCAAGATTTCTTGTTTTATAATTTATGTTTTCATATTCGAATATGAAAATGGAAATATGAGGAGAATTCGGCAGTGGCAGTTATATTTATTGCACTCTAAGAGTGAACTATGGGTTTTTTATTCCTAAATTCGTATTTGAAATTCAATTTATTATAGGACGTCAGTTTCACCGTTCATCCAGGTCAGACTGTTGCTTTGGTTGGACCAAGCGGTGGTGGGAAATCGTCTATCGTATCTTTGATTGAGCATTTTTACGAATGTGATAAGGGTTGCGTGCTCATTGATGGAAATCCAGTGGCAGAGTATGATCATGAGTATATTCATCAAAAAGTAAGTTTCTTTGCGTCAATTTTGGACAGAATTTTTCATTGAAAATGAAAATCATTCGAGAGAGGCAGACGTTCTTCTATGTGTATACGATGGACCTGTCGTATATGTATACGATGGACTTGTCTAATAATTTTAAAATGAGCATGTTTTTAATATAGCAGTCTTTAGGAGGTAAGATTCGAGTTTGTTCAGATAGCCTTGGTTGCTCAAGATCCAATTTTATATGAAGGCACAGTGCGAGACAATATTGTGTATGGATGTGATTGGGCTACCGAGGATGATGTGTTAAATGCTGCTAAAATAGCTAATGCACATAATTTCATCATGGAAACTGAGAAGCAATATGAGACAAACTGTGGCGAGAAGGGTGTGCAACTATCAGGTTATTTACTTGGAAATGATATCTTGTCGCTATAGGATCTTCTAGAAAATGGAAGCTGCAATAGTTATTACAACCTACTTATTTGGACTTTGTTGATTAATGGAAATCTGCCGATCTAAATTATAGAAGAGAGATCTTTTTTCTGTTTTTTCTCCATGTGTTAACAGTCATTTATTACCTCTTTAAATGTTTGATTTTCCTTGCAATAAATTTAAGTTTTCGAATTTATCAAGGATTCACTTCAAAGAGTGAAAACTAGTCTTAAAATCAAAGAGGAAAGGGGTAAGCAGTTTTCCTCCCACCAGTTCATCTATATGTGTTGCACTCACATTTTCAGGCGGTCAGAAACAACGTATAGCAATAGCACGAGCTGTGGTTCGCCGCCCCGTGATCCTGATATTAGATGAGGCAACTTCAGCTTTAGACGCAGAAAATGAATTCATTATACAAGATGCCATAGCGCAATGTTCGAAGGATAAAACAATTATTGTAATAGCACATCGCCTAAGCACTGTTGAAAATGCTGATCAGATTATTGTTATTAATAAAGGACAAGTGGTTCAGGTTAGTTCACTTGAGATTTTTTTGTTTAGCTAGGAAAGGTATGAAATCCTTATTTTAAAAGTATCTGAATTAATTCAGGGGTTACAAAATTCGTACGAACTTCAATTCGAAAAAAGGCTGATATTAATTAGAATCTTTTATTTAATAGCCAACATGTGATAGTGCAATCTTCGTTCGTTTGAAATCTTCAAATATGGATGGCATGCCTCGATTTTAATTTACACATCGATATGTTACATAAGCTACAGCTATATGGTAGGTTTAATCATTATTTATTAAAGAAATCACATTTCACTATTGTTTTAGCAAGGTCGACATAAGGAATTGCTGGAACAGGATGGTATTTATCGATCGTTAGTACATCGACAACTTCTTGGAAATAATCCAAACAAAATACACTGATATTTTCTACGGTTTGAAAATGCTCTCTCGCATATTAAATTATTACTTTTTGATAGTTATTGTCTTTCTTTATTATTTAATTTGGGTTTCTGTGTAGCTTTTGGATCTATCCGATTATTAATGTAACAGCACTGCTCAAAGAACCAAAGAGCGAAAATAATTGAGAAACTCATTTGAATTTGGAACATTTGGTTACAAAGATGAGATGTTCAATGGAGATTTAAAATTGTTTTAAGCAAATTAATCTTTAGACAAGACTGAAGAAAAACTGGATTAAATGTAGATATTTTATTACCTCCATTCTACATGGTTTTTCATTAATTGAACGGACCGTAAAAGCGTTACTTGTGAAATTATAAACTTTCTATTTGATGTTTCATAACGTCCTTTTTATCTCATTTGCTATTATAATGAACCACACTCCTCCTTTAGTAAAGCATCTCGCGAAATTAATACAACTGATAGAACGTTTGGGTCTACGCGACTTCCCAACTAAAAGATTGGTACCAGGCATTGCAACTCACCAATAATGCATTTAAATTGTGCTGATTGAGCGTTACTACCGCATATTTTGCCACCAGAAACTCATTTCACCATGTTATACATATGACGGTAACAAGATTGCGGTATAGAAATGGAGCATAAGATAAAATTGCGGTATAGAAATCAAGCATAATCTTTTTTAATTCATACGATTCCAACATTTGATCAAATTCCATAGAGATCACAACCTCTATCTCAATTAAATAAATTATTCGAATTATTTTTAGGCGTATTCATCATGACTTTAAAGTTATCGCTAAGGACTAAGAAATGGGAGCGTCCATTGCTCAATCACATGAGCGTTAGATTAGATGTGAGTCAAAAAATTCGGGGAGACCGTATTTTCGGTTTCTGCTCTTTCTCATTTTTCAAGTCTCGAAAACTTTGTCAGTGTTTCCAATGCGATACAAAAGTTCGTACCAAGTGTAAAATAAAACAAGAAAGAAATAGGAATTCAATCTTGACACAAAACCAGAAGCACTTGTGAACTGTATCCTAATAGGGATCCATTTGGAAATAGAAAGAGAAATTTAGCCTTTATTATACCGCAGTGGTTGGCGGCGCAGCGGTGAAGAATTCATTCAATAGGTCAATATCCTCTTCATTTAAGCCTACGGCATTGTGAATTACAGGCGGTGAAATAATATTTCCAGGTTTAGCGTACTGAGCAATCTGACTGTGCAGTTTTCCTTGCACTTTGCTGGCAAGATTAAGTTCGTGATTGCCGGGTGGTGGTTGTTCAGTTAGAGTTGTTGGTGGAACCGAATTAAGGCGGTTTTTCTGAAGCAACGCTAGATCACTGATCATTACACCAGTTTTACTCAGCGTATCCTGAAACATAGAGAAAGTGTGACAGCAATTCTAATTTAAAGACATTCAGCGAAAAAACTTATGGTACAAGAACGAATACATAAATGTAACGACAAATGATACTATAAATATATTGCGGAATAAGGAGGCTGAGGGTATTAATTAGATGTCAAACAAATAAATGGAAGCAATGGAGTCAAACATGGTTAGCTTTTAACTTCCATTATACGGTAGATGCTACCCGTATTTTAAATATCTCAGGAGCACAGTTCTTGCCTGTTCCTGAAATATAAAATCTACCAAAGGACAGTAACTTTTTGGAAAAGAAACCGTTTAATTACCTTCCTTTTCCAAAACAGATAAGAACTATGCCCCACTAAAACACAATCTGTATTGAATCAACAATTCCTCAATAAAAAACGGGAAAGATCTCATAAAAATCAAAAAATACCTGACAAGTCTCTGGTACTATCTGCGACTTGTATAGCTTCCGTATGTCACTGATGAATGAAACATCAACTCCAATATTTTCAAGTGATTCGACATCACTCAACAATTTGTTTAAATCGATCTTATCCACTGCGTCTTTCATCTGAGAAACCTATCAAATCATTTAATACTAAAAATTGAAAAACGATGTAATAATTTTCAACATCCTACGTCAATTTCCCCAATGGCCCTCCGTTCCCAGGAAAACTGAGTAAAGTTCGCAAAAGAAGTTTCAAAAAGTTGGGTATTTTTTACAACTAATTTTGCTAAAAAACATTCTTACATAGCTTTTTTCCATGTCAGTTTCCAAAGCCTTGATAGTTCTGCGGTGTTCACCGTTTGTTAAAGTATCTAACAAATCATCGACAACTTTGATCATGTACTCACCAGCATTATCAACCATCTCTCGTAAAGATATTGCATTCGTTACATTAGTTCTAAAACTTGTTTGCTGTGGTTTACTTCAAAATTATTTCATAAAACTATTCAACAAGTTTCCTAACTTCTCAATTTATTCGGAAAAGATATAAATAAAAACAAAGAAGAACTTACCAAAATTCCAAAATGCTATCTGAAGCAAACATAAATAGCACGCCGTTACTCTAAGACTTAAATGAAACAAGTGTAAATAAGTGTAAATAAGTAAAATATAAACGCTTCATATATAATGGTTACCAATAACCACACTACATCAAAACTCTGCACATAAATTCGATTGAATTTTTAAATTTTATTGAAGCTGACCTGTCACCGTAGGTTCCCAAGAGTAAACGAGAATCCCGTTCGCAAAGTGTTGCCCAAGTAGAATCAAATTGCGGTGCAAAAGAACTGAATGGCCCATAAGACACGTAGGAAATTGGAACCTAGAAATATTTTTTGTAACTGATGCTGAAGATTATATTTTTTCCTAAAAAGTTAATGGAAGATAAATCTTCATAATAGTGCATGGTAAGCCTAAAGGTGAAACGGACACAAAAATCGGATAAAATTTGTGTTGGAAAATGGATTAACTATAGCCACAACAGAATAGATACCACTAGCTTTAACTTAATTTGTTTTAAAGAAAGTTTTTTAATATCCCAGTCTAATTTTCCACGTATGTTTACAGAAGCTCTTGGCGGTCCTTTCCGATGACAACTATTCAAATCAAAATTGGGAAGTTTCGATACTAAAATTTGATTACTTTAGCAGCAGTTCCAAACATTTAGTTCCAAAAATTTCAGTTCGTTCGAAAATGAAATTATGCAATGAAACTAGGATAAATAAATGGGATGATATAGTTATGCTCCCTTGTACAACAATATTGAGCTCGTAATGATTTGAAATATGATGCGACAAACCTGATGGTTGGATTTGTGTTCTTGTGGAGCGCAAAGTCCTGGTGTACCTTCCTCCAACTTACCCACAATATCTCCAAGAGTGATAACTTTTTTTTCAGATGAGCTCGGATTGATAACATTCAAACAAATAGCACCGTCCTTGTTATCCAAAAATGCAAGATGACTTTTTGGTACCACACCATCGTCCTCGTTGCCAGCAGGGAAAACCCCGAGATCAGGAACGCGACTGGATAATTTCTGTTTTAAAGATGGATCCACTGCTTCCAAAACGGTTGATGGTGTTGCATCATCGATAACGGCAGTTTTATAATCCGCTTTCGGTATTGCCCGCGCCTTTGTTTTCAATGTCAAACCTAACTTTTCCAGTGGGATATCCTAAAAATGTGGTTTGCTTAGATCTTCAAGTATCACTGCTGAATCACATATTACAAATCTAAGAGTTGTAAAACTGAAATGAAATTTACAGGGCGGCCTTGATGAAATGTTCAATTTTAAAATACAAAAATACCTAACAACCAGTCTATGTTATGAATATGTTTTATTTTTTCCGATTCCCTAACCTTGTGCATATCCTTTCCCATTTTTATAGCACTGACGAATTCAAAATCTAAAGAACTTATAATCAATGTGAGATGTTACTAAGAATGAAATACCATCGCCTAATCACCGGATGATACAATTAAATCCATCTAAAAAGACTACAGTACTTGAGATCAGATCGTTCCTGTTCAACTTAGCTGAATTCTTTAAAGGAATCAAATAAACGAAAAATCGGAAATCTACCTTGCTGAACGGAAGAGCATGAAAAAGATAGCGCAAATATGGTTCCGAAAAATAAAACTGTACAATCAGATCCATTTTTTGAGCTGCTACATGATATACAGTTCCAGGTGAATTATAATCCATTGCGTTATGAACAATCAATTCGGCATCTTTCTTAAGTGTAGCAATATCAGGATATTCATCTCGATCGATTTTTTGCCCAATTGTAGCAAAATCCATCGGTTCCTTGATTATTTCATGATAATCTGGTGCCATCGATCTGAATTTAAAAGCAGGTTTTCCGATATCAATTTAATGAAAAAATCATTCAAAAAAATCCATTCTAAAAGTTTTCTATACAATTAGCAGAACTTATAAAATCTATGATCAAGAGAACAATATAATCAACTTGTAAAATCTGCAATGAAGAGAACAATATAATTTGAAAAAAGTTAAATCACACAATGCTTTCAACTAAGAAAAAATTGTTTTGCCACAAAGCATTCATAGTCTTTGTAGAAAAACACCGCTTCCATCTACTTCGAAAGTAAGTTTATGGCAGAAGAAAAATGAGGGCTTAAGGACTTAATGCTAAACTTACTGTGTTACTGGAAATGCAAAATATTCATCCGGATCTTTAGCTTTCATTTTGCGTAACAAATTATCGCAAAAAAGCTGCAATGGTGAATAAGTAAGCACAGTTGATGCCTTTGGAAGAGGTGGGGGTGTCGATGAATGCTCTTTCACTTCATCATTAACTTCATCCTGGAAACAATAATTATCAACGTAAGTTGCAAACCTTTGAAAGTTTTGGTTAACTGGAAGAAATTGAAGTAAATTTCCTATACTAAGAGTATAAAATAGAGCAAAAAATAGATCTAGGGCAAAAACAAAACTGAATTTCCAAATCCCTCTTTCAAATATCGTTTCTGAATCTAGGATGATTTAAGCACCACTTTATCTTTCTTATCCAACTTCTCCACTGTTGCGGGGATTCGATAAAATATATTATGCCATGGGAACATTTACCTCTTGCTGTTGCTTGGATTCTTCACG